AAACCACTAACATAATTTCTATAAATTAATCAATAAGAAATAAAAACTGACTTTTTTTAACCTCTCGAATGAATCTGCACTTCGAGGAACCCACCCTTGGATGGCCTCTCCAGCAACTGAAGTTAGCCACGATGGCCATCCCGCAACAATCTGTTCTCCTTCGGTAGCACGTGGCATGCTAATTATCCGAGACATTGTTGTTGCTTGTCCTCCATTGACTGCAACTCCATCCATTGTAGCTCGCCTCTGATGGTTACCGCTTGTTGGCCTTTCAACAATTCTATTTTTCTTCTTGTCTTCATCGTTTTTACCAGGTACGGAGCCCATACTGGGTTGTAAAACTGGCTTAGATATTGTGTGACCAACAGACTCAGCATAACAACCATTACCCACTACAATCTTCTCTCTCTTTGAGGGAGCAAACACTTGTACCGAAGGTTTGTTTAGCTCTTTCTCTTTCTCCTTCTCATTCTCATTCTCATTTTCAACTTCATTTGATCCTTTAGAGCAAATGCAGCCCATCCTTACCAATGTAAGTTCTCCGAAATCACACAATCACCCTTAAAAATTTGGAATGTTTTGTAAAATATGATCATGGTGTGAGGAATGTAGAACGGGGTGTAAGGAGGGATCGGAGGGGCCCATTGTTATTGAAATGAAGTTAAAAATTGTATCGTGGAATGTACGGGGGTTGAATGATAAGAGGGTGGCGATGAAGGCAGTGTTGCGGAGTGCCAAACTGGACATTGTATGTTTACAAGAGACAAAGATGGAAGTGGTGGGAGTGGAGCTGATTCGCGAGGTATTGGGGGGAGGTTTGTGGAGTGGACCTTTTTGCCCTCGTTAGGTACGGTAGGTGGGGTTCTTCTCTGTTGGGATAAGAGGGTAGTGGCGAGGGAGGAGGAGGAGATAGGAGGATTTTCGGTCTCATGTTTGTTCCGTTGTGTGGACGATAATTTTCAGTGGGGTTTTACTGGGGTATATGAGCCTGTGCAGGATTCAGAGCGGGGTTTGTTTTTGGAGGAGATGGAAAACATAGCCTTTCGCTGGGATGTCCCCTGGTGTGTAGGGGTTGATTTTAATGTTATTCGTTGGCCATCGGAGAAGGCGGGGAACGCGAGGAGTTCGGGGGCAATGCGGGTTTTCTGTTCTTTCATTAATGATTTACAGTTGGTTGATTTACCTATCTAGGAGGGTAGCCTCACATGGTCAAATGGCCAGAGTTTGTCTCGAATTGATCGGTTCTTGGTTACTGTGGGCTGGGAGGAGCACTTTTTTGAGGTGGTTCAGCTTCGTTTATCTCAACCTGTGTCTGATCATTGGCCCATTTTGTTGGATAGTGGGGGGATCCGACGTGGTCCTACGCCATTTCGTTTTGAGAATATGTGGTTGCAACAAGAGAGTTTTCTAGAGTTGGTTCGTGGCTGGTGGAATAGCTACGTGGTTCGTGGTTCGTGGTTCTCCTAGTTGTGTGTTGGCTCAAAAATTGAAGATGTTGAAGACGGCCTTAAAAAATTGGAATAAGGAGGTGTTTGGTCGGCTAGAGGGCCAAAAAGCTGCGGTGGTGTCTTTACTTCAATCCTTGGATGATCTGGAGGCACAAGATGGGCTGTCTACTGAGGCCGGTATTCATAAGGAGGCGGCTGGACAGGATTTTGTTCGTTTATCCCGTATGGAGGAGGTTTGTGTTCCTCAAAAGTCTAGATGTTTGTGGTTAAAGGATGGGGATCGAAATACAAAATTCTTTCACCGTATGGCTAATGCTTATCGAAGAGTTAATCAGATTAGTAGGTTATGGGTGGATGGTCGGGAGTTGCACACAGATGGAGATATTAGGGAGGGGGTCGTGGGCTTCTATCAGCATTTATTCCGGCCACAAGAGGGGGTTTGGCGGCCAGGCCTGGAAGGTGTTCAGTTTGATACGATTCTGGGAGAAGATCGGGAGAAGTTGGAGCGAGCTTTTACAGAGGAGGAGGTGTTTGGAGCTTTGCGGGCTATGAGTAGGGATAAAGCCCCAGGTCCAGATGGTTTTACTATGGCTTTCTTCCAACATTGTTTGAGTGTGGTTAAGGGTGATATCATGGCAACTTGGAGGATTTCCTGCTGTCTGGGCTTTTTGAGAAGAGTTTCAATGCAACGTTTTTGGCTTTGATTCCTAAGAAAGGAGGGGCTAACGATATTCGGGATTTTAGGCCTATTAGTTTGTTGGGGAGTGTGTATAAGTTATTGGCTAAAGTGTTGGCAGATCGTCTTCGAGGAGTTTTATCAACTGTGGTGTTAGAGTCTCAGAATGCGTTTGTTGGGGGAAGGCAGATCTTAGATGCAGTATTGGTTGCCAATGAATGTGTGGATTCTTGGATTCGTCAGGGGCGTTTTGGTTTGATTTGCAAATGGGATATTGAGAAGGCGTATGATAATGTTAATTGGGAGGTCCTCTTGTATGTACTGGATCGTATGGGCTTCGAGGCGACTTGGTGTCAGTGGATCAAATTCTGTATCTCGACTGTGCGGATGTCGATGTTGATTAATGGGACTCCGGCGGGTTTCTTTCAAACATATCGAGGTCTTCGGCAAGGGAATCCTTTGTCCCCCCTGCTATTTATCTTAGTGATGGAGGCATTGAGTAGATTGTTGGATAAAGCCGTGCGCAAAGGCTAATTGGAAGGTTTCGTTGTGGGTTCATTGGCGGGGGCTCCTTTGGGGGTTTCGCATTTGTTATATGCGGATGATGCTTTGATCTTTTGTGATGCGAAAGCAGTGCAGGTTGGTTATCTATAATGTGTTTTGCTTTGTTTTGAGGTGGTTTCGGGCCTTCGTGTTAACTTGCGGAAGTTGGAGCTTATTCCAGTGGGGGCGGTTACTAGGTTACCTGCTATGGCTGCAGTATTGGGGTGTAAGGTTTCGGTTTTGCTAGTGTCTTATTTGGGTTTGCCTTTAGGGGCTTCTTTTAAGGCAAAGAGGGTGTGGGATGGGGTTGTGGATCAGGTCCAACGTCGTCTGGCAAGTTGGAAGTGCCAATATCTTTCGAAAGGCGGCCGGTTGACTTTGCTTAAGAGTGTGTTGAGTAGTATCCCCACTTATTTCATGTTGGTCTATGTAATTCCAATGTCAGTGGCGCATCGATTAGAAAAACTTCAGAGGGATTTCTTGGGGGACTGGTGGTGATGATTTTAAGTATCATTTGGTTGATTGGGGTTAGGTTTGTCAACCCAAGCAAGCTGGAGGGCTGGGGGTACGACGGTTGGTGACTTTTAATCGAGCCATGCTAGGGAAGTGGCTCTGGCGTTTTGCTTTGGAGCCTCACAGATTGTGGCGGCAGGTGGTGGCGTCTAAATATGGGCTGGGAAGAGGGGGTTGGGTTTCTGGGTCTGTGACCTGTACTTATAGGTGTGGGTTATGGAAAGGGATTTGGTTGGGAAGGGTAGAGTTTTGGAAGTGGATAGGGTTTAAGGTGAGGGAGGGGAGTAGGGTGCGGTTTTGGAAAGATATGTGGTGTGGGGGGTTTGTGTTCGAGACCCGTTTCCCTTTGATTTTTAATATTGCGTTAGGTCAAGATGCATTGGTGGCTTCCTATTTGGATGGTGGGGGTGTGGTGGTTTGGGATACTAAGTTACGGCGAGAGGTTCATGATTGGGAAGTTGCTCAGCTGGTGGAGTTGTGGGGTTGTTTATATGGTTTGGGAACGGTTGGGATGGGCCCCGATATATTGGTGTGGACTAGGTTGGGGGCAAAAGGGCTGTTCACACTAGCATCATTTTATCAGGGGTTGATGGGAGATGCTGGTTGGGTCTTCCCTTGGACAAGTGTTTGGGTTCCAGAGGTTCCGACTAAGGTTGCCTTTTTCATGTGGACTGTAACTTTAGGTTGGAATCTTACTTTGGATAATTTGATGCGGCGGGGGCACATCCTTGTGAATCGGTGTTGTATGTGTTGCGAGGATGCGGAGGCAGTGAACCATTTGTTTCTTCATTGCTCAGTGGCTTCATGTTTGTGGAGCTTCGTTTGTTCACTTTTTGGTCTTGCTTGGGTTCAACCACAAGGGGTGTTTGAATTCCTTTGGGCTTGGCGGGGCGTTTGTCTTGGCCAGCGGCGGCGCCGAGCTTGGTTGTTGGCTCCGTTCTGCGTGATGTGATTGCTTTGGTTGGAAAGGAATAGACGTACCTTCTTAGAGGTTTCTCATAGCGTCTCTTGGTTACAAAGTCGTCTTTTTCTAATTTTGTATAGTTGGTTAGAGTGTAGGATAGATCCGGATTTATTTGTATTTTTAGATTTTTTAGATGAGGTGATTGGTTAGCCCTTGTTTTATTGGTTCCCCTTTCTGGGTGGTTTTCTTGTATTGGTTGCATCGTCTTAATGCTTTCTTAATAATATTTGCTTACTTATCACCAAAAAAATGAAAAACAAGAACTGTATAGCATTTCTAACTTCTTCAGTTTGCAGCCAAGTTTTTTATTTTCTAAGGTTTGCATATGAATTGAAGGTGTAAAAAGCATAAGAATTAATCAAATCATTCATTAATGCATTTCAATTTCTTACAAGTTTTTCAAAGCAATTATCATAAGAATATTCTCCAAAGAAACCGGAGTATTTTCAAGCATTCTTTACCAATAATGACCAAATAGCTGAGTTCAAAGGTAGAAATTAGCACCTTATTTGGTTGAGTTTTCAAAATCTGTTTGCCATTTGCTTTTTCAAAAATAGAAACTAGTGCGTAAATATTTTTTGAAAATTTGAAACTATTTTTTTGGTATTTATTTTCGTCTAACTAGTTATTTTTAAAGGAAGAATAAAAATAAAAATAAAGAAACAAGGAAAAGAAACAGACAAGAGTTTTGAAAACTCAACCAAACAGGATGTGTTCATAGATATTCAAAAGTTAAAGGGGAATGTTGGTTGGAATTGAAAAAGCCAAGGCATAAGAAGCAAAAGAGCCAGGTAAAGATCAATCAATTTGTAAAAGCTCATCTGGTCATAATTATCTCAAATAATGTGGAACTTACTTTGTTACGGACACTGCAGAATCCACTGAACTGCAGTGTTGCTCCCAACAGAGAGTCTATGACACTTCCACAAAGCCCCGCCAAAGCAGAAATAGGTATTACTAGTTGCTGCTTCAGAGCCACATCATAAGCGCATCTTGTTGTGAAAAAGCCTATGAGAACGAATGTCAGTCCAATGATGCTGCCTGCTGCAGCAGCTGCTAGGAGTCCTGCTTTTGTCACACCACCATTTGTACCCCGCCGAACTGGCTGATAACAAGGAAGAAAACAAATAGAATCCACACACATGGCATTGAGCTTGTAAGTGAAATACCAAAATGGATGATTAGTTAATTGTTTTAAGAATAAAAGAAAAGGGAAAGAAGAGAAGCTCTGGACAAAATGGGAAGAGGTTAAGAGGGTGAATGCAAGAGAGTTAGTAAAACATTATGAGAGGCAACTTTTCAAAAAAAAAGAAGAAGAAGAAGAAATTATGAGATGCCAGTCACCAGTAGTAAGATTTTTGAAAAGGTATTTATGCAGTATGCAACAAACATAATGGAAAACTCATATAAAAGGTACAAACATCCTTCTCTCTATTGAGATATATGAAATATTTAATATTTACTACATTTAACCATATTCTGACTCATGCTGTAGCTAAACTGTGAGGTTGAGTAGAATGCATCAAAAGCTCAGGAGAGTGAAACAGTAAGTTAATGCTTCAACATAGTAGTTAGATAAGATTAGATTACAGGAAAAACAAGCCTAAAAATATACGGCACCAGGAGAGAGCAGAACTAATGCAGCTACGTCCTGGCCCCATTCATTAAATTAAAAATCACCCTAGAATATCCTAAAAGGCAAGTGTTTTTCTCATGTCAACTGGATGTGAATTTGGAGTGACCAAGAATAGAAAACAATATAAAGAGAAGGAATTAACCACCTTTAAGGTTGTGATTAATTGAGGCTGCGCATCACTAAGTATCCCAAGCTCTGACGACCATGTGTCCCCATTGAGCAGGAATAGTGACCAATGACACCACCAATTAGAGATGTTAGAAGTTGAGATTCTTTGGAGTCCAAACACTTGTCTTGCGATCTTGTCATCATCCAAGCAATCAAGACCAGAAGGGTAGCAATGCCACTGTTGGAGAGAACTTGTATCCTGAAAAGAAAGAATATGGAACAGTTCACCAAAGGTCAGCAACAATACTTGAATACAACTTTGCCAAAAGCTCCAGAGCATAGCTATTATAGTATGCATGCTGGTCAATTCTGATTTAGGTTGACTACAATAGTCTGTCAGCAGCAAGGAAAGGCAGAGAAGGTTTGGAAAATGGATATATGTTTATAGCAAGGTGATGCCTGGATTATCTATAATTTTCCATGGCCACAACCACAAGCATAAGCAATCCAAATTGCCACTAGAATCTTCTCAACAACTTTATCCATGGAATACAGATTAAATATTACCCAATTATGTATGATTAAATGCACTATTATGATTTTTGGATTTGCATTGCATGTATTCCAAGTTTCAGCTCGTATAGTGTAAGAATTTAACAGAAGTATGAGTCATAAAATTTATTACATGGTGCAACTGCTTAAGGCTATGCAATTTTTATTAGAATACATACTCTAATTTTATTCAAAGCATAGCGTGTTGAGCTTTGGTTTCTGCTCAGTAAGATCAACCAAGAAAAACTTGAAAACTTATAGCTGATTATGTTCACTGCCTATTTTATTTGACAAGACAAACAATACTAATATACAACATCTCCTTAGGATTTCAGAAAGACCGCCCTATAATTTCAGGTTGTGAGATTTTTTATTTATTTTTTAAAATTTTTTTTATTTGTTTATTATGAAACCAAAGTTTCACAAAACGCTTGAATCATAGTGTGTGAAAAACTCTAAAAACTATTTTACAAAATTAAGCTAGTATAAGAACTCTATACACCAATCCTTCCACGACAAAAATGCTTGAATCATAGATTACGAGTACATCTATAAGCATTTTACAAAATTAAGGCAGAATAAGAACCCTAGATACCAATTCTCCCACAATCTCGAAGATACTAGTGCTTTAACACACATTTTTAAGACTCTTCTTACAAGCTTTAGCAATTTTTCAAAAAATGAACAACCTGGCTCAAGCTCTGCCTGCTATATTACAAACTTAAATTTAAATTTTTATTTTTCTTTATCTGCACTTTGAATTCTCAAGAAAATCGCATCGTTTCGTCTGTAACACATACATAGATAGAGAGATACACGTATATAAACACACAGAAACACAAACACACGTGATAATCAATTAATTGAAACTTTAATCCACATATCAATCAAAAAATTACCAATTGCGTTGACCTCCCTCTTTGAAATCAGCGTCGATGCTTCGTTTTCTCTCCACCCCGACCTTCGTGAGCTTCGACGAAGTGAAGAAGAAAACTAGCAACATCGCTCCCAACCTGAAAATTCAATTAATTTGAGCTTTGGTCATTCTTCACACATTCACAAATGCATATATACATACGAGAATCCATATATATATATAGAGAGAGAGAGAGAGAGAGAGAGAGACCTGTAATTGACTGCGATGTGAATGAACATGACGATAAACCCTAGAAAAGCGCCAGACAGGTTAAGAGAGTTCCTTTTGAAAGCTCTGATGGCGATTGCAGATGAAAGCAACACAGCGATTGCAGGTTGGACCAGAGTTGTTTCCATGTTCAACTATCACGCTCACACACACACTCTAGTCTCTGCTCTGAACACTGAACAGTCAGTGATCGGAAGCTGAAGACCACAATGCTGAATTTTTTGCCACATATATGTCAACACGAGCAAGGATTCTTGTTCTCTGCTTAACTCCTCATCTAAAAATAATCTAACGGCCCAAATCACTTGATTAAAAAAAATTAAAAATTAAAAATTAATTTTTTTGGAATGATCTGGACCATCAAATTTTAAGGGAAGAGAGAAATAGAGAAAGAAAGGTGAGGATCCTCCCTTATGTGAACACACCCATGTTACACATCTGTCTGTCACGTGAGTCGGCTATTGTAATATTTGTACTTTTACAAGTCACTTTCTAAATTTAATAATGTAGGGTCATGTGGTGTCATTTTTAGATTCTATTTTAATTATTTAAATTATTTATATTTTAATTTTTATCCAGGATATTATTTTTTAAAAAAATTAAATTAATCAGATAACGTAATTATATATTTAGATAAATTTTATATGAAAATAAAATGAATGGTAAGAAAATAAAATATTCATACAAAATTGATTCAGATATATGGGGTTGTGTGGGATGTGTTATATAAGTGTACTATTTGACTTTTTGATTAAAAAAGTATAGAAAGAAATGTTTATATTTAGGATAATTTTTTAACTTTTTACGAAAATATGTGTAATAAAATCAAAATAACCATTATACCTTTGTTGACTTCTTGACTTTTGGATAGTTGAATTCAAATGGCAAAATAATAATTTTGCCCTCTAGACTTTCCCCACAAGCTTCGCCCAAATAGTATGGACTTTTTAACTTTTTTTTAATAACTTTTTGACTTTTTAGCTTTTATAGATTATGTCAAACCAAACCACTTAGGGTTTGTTTGGGAATGTTGACTTTTTGACTTTTTAACTATTTTAACTTGGGATTAAAAAGTTTTGTTTGAAAATGATTTTTTTGATTTTTTGTGAAAAAAATAATGTAATGATTATGAGTTGGATGTGATGTTTTGTGTTATTGGGTTAAAAATCTTTATTTTGTCTTTTTGTAGCTAAAATAGCCCCAAACCCAACCAAAATCTTCTTCCCAAACGAAGCCTTATTCGATCGACTTGCTTTTTTCCATATATGTTGTACTCGATGAACTTTAAAATGTGAACGATTCGAATTATCAAAACGGAATCCAAAAGTGGCCCTATTGAGCTGGATTGGACCGTCTAGTCCGATTACAGACCAGAGATAGTCCAATCCCTACCTTTAATATCGTACTTAATTGTCATATCATTGAGTTTAAAAAGTAATTTAATTTTTAATCTTTAATAACAATTTTTATTTTTTTCATTTAAAATTAAGAAAAAAAAAATAGATAAGGGAAGGGTATGGAATTTTAATTAAAAAAAACTACTTCACAGCTTATTTAACAAATACTACTCGGCAACTTAAATCTATAATCCAACAGTTATACCAAACAGATTAACAGCTTCTGATTAAAGTCATAATCTATAATCTGTTAAGTTATAATCTATAATATGTTTTAACAGTACCAAACAGAACCATTGTGGTGTTTGGGAACTTGGGTTTGAGATTTTATTTTTATTTTTTTCACTAAAAGACAAGCTTTTTACAAAACCAAAAAAAATACATCCAACCCCATAATCATTTTATTTTTTCTCTCACAAATATCACATTCAAACACAAAAAAATCTAACTATCTTTCCAAATACCAAAAAAAAATTTATCTAATAATATCCTACAACTAAAAAAACTTACATAAAAATTCACTTCCCATACACCCGCTATTTATATTTATTTAAATTACACACAACAAATATATATATATTTCTCATATATGAGGGGTGTGCCACTCGTGTGGGCAGTAGTTAGATCATGCCAGTTATTAAGGGTTGGTTTGACAACCATTGAAAAAGTTAAAAAATTAAAAAATTATAAAAAAGTTAAAAAATTATCATTTTTTATCAAAAAAAATATTAAAAAAATAATATACAAATATTAATTTAAATGATAAATTAATATAAAAGTTCAATCCGACCAACCCATCAACATACGGACATGTCAGCCACCGGGAATGAAAGGAAAAACAAAAAATAATAACATGTGTACATTCACTTATTTGCATGGTAAAGTTGGGCCTGTAAGGGCCTACCATGGGTCTCGTTTTGATAATCTGAACCGTTGAATATGTAGAACTCTTCTAGTACTATAAGCAATCACTTCTATCGAATATCGCTAACTATATGATCAAATCAGTTTTATATAAAAACTGGATAGTATTATAGTTAACAGTTGGCAAAGAAAACTAATACGATCAGATAGTTATCGATATCCAATCAACGTGATTTTTTATAAACATGTAGTACTCAATGAGTTCTACACATTGAACAGTTCCGATTAAAAAAAGGGGATCCGTGGTGGGCTCCAACGGGCCAAACAATACCATCCAATCAAAGCTCGAGAAGTAGACAATATTTTTTCATCTACTCACCCCGTCAGTCACCACTGCCATTCCGTACGGCTCCTACCCTATCTTTTCCACCACACTTATTTATACAATTTTTTAATACATATTTTTTCATAAAAAATCAAAAAGTTAATATAAACATTCATATTTTTTTCCTCAATTTTTTAGTCTAAAAATACAAAAAGTATATTTATTTAAGACACTCCAAACAATCTCTAAATAATAAATAAAAAAAACTCTGTGCTTTATATTTAATCCCTCACAAATTATTGTAGTTTTTTTTTTTTTTTGGACGTACGTTTGTCACTATAATTGAGTCAACAAATAACATGATTTTATAATAAAAAAAGAATCACAAACTTAAAATTTTCAATATTGTATATAAAATATATAAATTAAGAAGGACAAAATAAACCTTTAATAAGATTTGAATAAGAGCCTTGAGTGCATTTAAATGGACCCCAATAAATTTGTTGGCCATCTTAACTCTTTGAGCACCCCATCCTCTTTGAAGAAAAAAAAAAAAAACCATCCTCCAATTAATTTTAAAAAATGCTATAGGTTTTAAATTTTGTACTAAATAAATGATCAAATGTCTAATATGAGGTCCATAAAAGTGTGAATCTCGCACCCATTTGAGACATTTGATCATTTATTTAGTAAAAAAATTTAATATTCCTAACATTATCCATTAATTTTTGTTCTTTTTTTTTTTTTTTTTTGAACAACTCAATTAATTCCTATTTAATCTTTTTTGACACCCACAATCCCTTCTTCTTTCCTGTCCGGCCCATCTATACCTTTCTGTCACCTTTTACAATCCCTCCTTGCCGCCCCTCTATAACCCTTTGAGTGATAATTTAGAATTTTAAAAGTGGAGTTCTAAACAAAGTCTATTGAGTTGACAGTTTAAAAGAAAAAAAAAAAAATTCAAACCAAAACATTACATCAAGATAGGTCTCACATAATTGTCACATCATTAGAGCAAATTATAGAACTCTTGCCGTAGAGCTTTGAAACATTTTTCTAATCCTTAACCATTTTCTCTTTTTCCGGTCACTCCCTCACTTTGAATCTTTAACCTAAAGGAAAGTGCATCATAGGATGTAAGCTATAATGGGAATAAGATCACTGATGAACGACAAGGATTGGGTGGTGTTTTGAGAAGTTGGTAAAAAGTTAACTTTTTAACTTTTTTTTTTTGACTTTTTAACTTTTTTTGTGCTAAAAAAATAACTTTTTTACTAATTTTTTAATTAAAAAAATTAAAAAAATTGACATTTACTATGCACCCAAAACACTCCTGGGAAAGGGGCTTGCCAATGGAAAAGGAGTGGCTAACCGAAAGTGGAGAATTATGTGGCGACAATGGTGGACTGGGTTGGTTAGATTTAAACTTTTGTCCATTTTTAATAATTTAATTTAGGAAAAATTATAAACACTCCATTAAGATTTATTTAAAATATAAATTGATCCATGTAGTTTTATAAATTACATTCATTTCCATGATGTTTCTAATAACTCATTTTATTAATAAATTATCAAGTTAATTAACAATTTTTAGTGACGTTAAAAATTTATTTCAATTAATAATTCAAGTAATTTTATTATTATATAGGAGAGTAGTTAGAAATTTTATTTTTTAATTAATTTTGTTAAATAAAAAATTCTGAGAAAAAAGTATTTATAATTTTATAAACTATATGGGATAATCCGTATTTTAAACAAATATCAAGAGTTGCATTTGTAATTTACCCAAAATTAATTAAACTTTTGTCCACTCATGCTCGTTTGGGAACATATTATTTTAGTAATTTTTTGATTTTTTACAAAAAATATACAAAAAAGTAAAGAAAGTGATATGACAACTTATAATAACTTTTTAACTAAAATATATAATTGACAAACAACGCCACAAATTATAAAAAGAGTTAGACTAGATTGAACCGCCATTGAGCTTGATTTAGAATCACAATTTCTAGAAAACATGTTATCCTTACCAAGATACAACATAATATAACTGATATCCTATTCAAATATCTAGAAATATGCTATCATTTTTCAAATAGAATTTGTTTTTATGATTATTTAAAATTGATTTTACCACAATCCATCAACAGTTGCAAGTGCGAGTTCACCATATATATATTTTTTTAAAAAATTAAATGATCTAAGTAATAGAATTTATATATATACCATAACTATAACTATAAAATCATAGATTGAATTGTAAAGTATTAAGAAAAGAATCCATGCATGAAGAGTTTGAATCGGACTGAGTTATGATTTTTAATTTTTAATTTTTTTTATTTTTTTTTACGTTTATTATTTGCAGTCCAACCCCAAAGTGACCTACTCTTTGTTCGTTTTTGTCCTTCCCTGAATTTTGGTGCTGGTTTCAATATAGATTTGGTTTCGGGAAAAATTGCAAGTTTGTGGTGTGTTGAAAAGATATTTATAAATTTATGACAAAATATGTAATTTTAATTATTAAAATTAATAAAATCTACTATTGATTTATAATTTTTTTGAAAATATGTACTGAAGTGCAATTTGCACTTGGTTTCGGCTAATAATAGGCCATAGGTTGGGGGCAACCTGTGTCATCAATGGGGAGGGGACTAAGAAAGGCTTGTGG